AAAAAAAAAAAAAAAAAAAAAAAAAAAAGAATTCCAGATAATAACAACAGCTGCCACTTGTCAGGTGCTGTCCCAAGAAATCTGTGTCCAGAGATTTTCCCATTTAGTACAACAGCAAGGTAGGTGTTATCCCTTTTAAGATGAATGAATTTAGAAAATCATCCAATAAAAGTCAAGACTTATTTATTTCATTTATTTACACAACAGGTTTTACTGAACATCATCAGAATCCAACAATGTCTGGCTCTGATATCCCATGTTTTCTCAAACTAGAGCAAAGTTTACACAACTTATCTGAACAAACCCTCAACAGTGTGGAAGAAGGAAAGACTCTTCCCCCAGATTTTCTGGTCAGGAGTTTCTCTTTCTATCCCAATAAGCTTCTTAATATCTACTCTAGGAAAAAGAATAAAGGGGAGCTATTAACTCATAATTGGCACTTTCTACCTCTGTCAGACTTCCAAAGTTTAAGATATTTCGAGTCAGGCCTCCATAAGCCACTTTATGTGACAATGTTTACCTGGCTAAAGAAAATGCCATTTGTCACCTTCAAATGCAATGAGTTGGGAAAAACTCTAACATGCAGATTTAGAACACTTTAGTAAAGTATCTTTTATAAAAAGGCACCTCATAAAATACTGCATGAGCCTTCCCTTCTACTTCTCTTAAAAAAACATAAGGGCATTTGTTGAACTCTTCCTATTAGGCAGTAAGGGAAGTAGGTCCTAAGATACAGAAATCCAAATTCTCCTTTTTTTAAATCCCCAATTTTAATACTCCAATTCTTTTACTGACCTTGAGTGATATATCAGTCCAATAAATTCGATTGTCTGTCACATCAAAATCCAAAGCAGAAGCTTCTTTGACACCAGTCAGTGGAATGGCCACATTATTATTGTTTGTTTCCAAAGAAATTCGTCTAATATCTGCTCTCCGTGAAAACAAAAGGAAAGCCTCTGGGACAATGCAGGTCTTCATGTCACTAATGAGTTCAAAGCCAATGGGGCAGGCACAACGAAGGCCCTGAGGTCTATACAGGCAAAGATGACTACATCCCCCATTTTCCTCAGCACAAGGGTTCGAACCTAAAAGATAAATTAGTTTATAAAAGGGCACAGAAGGAAACACACATTGATATAATCAATACATTTTCACTTTCAAATTGGTACACAGTGGTCACAAAGGCCTATGATTATATTTCTCCCAGTCTAGTGTTTTAATTCTGTTCCCACAAACAAGCAATATGAGAACAGGGACCAAAGTATGACAAAATACTTTCCTTCATCTCCAAAGTCAGCTTTGCAGTAAAGTGCAGTATTCATACAACAGGACTGAATTCTTCTGATGAAGGTATTCAAGTGCCTATGCATGTACAGCCAAACTTCACAGCCAGAATAGTAGGCCCATGTGTTAAAGATGATTTCTATATAGTTTCAAACATCAACAATTTATACTGCGGCTTTCAAGCTGTTGGTTCTCTGTATTTTTTTCTCAGTCTTGGTTTCCACTTGTAAGAGATCTGACAATGTCTTACCAATGATTCGATGGACATTTGTGGCCTTTAGCCCCATGAGGTCAGGCAGCTGATCTATGATGATTTCCCTCTCTGCACTTCGCTTATGCACTCTTTCGATGCTGCGCCTCTGCCAGTCAGTCCAGTAAACATAGTCACCCAACAAAGTAAACCCAAATATGTGAGGGATTTTGTCTTCCACTAGTACTCGTCTTCCAGTGCCATCAGTATTCATAACCTTCAAGTGTAAATTTGAAGAGAAGGCAGAAAATGAAGTAGGTATTTATCCTTCAAATATAATGACAAGCCTAACTAACTGCCTGTGGCATCAAAATCCAAGACTCACCTTAGTTCTTCAATGCTTTCACAAAATTATAATACAATGACTTAAAGAGAATTTCACATATATGACATAAGCTCAAATTTTACTTTTTCTCCAATCTCTTACTACTCTTCCTTCCAAAAAAAAAAAAAAAAAACCTGGTAACTTTAAATGTGGTATGGAACTCTCCTATTAAATGACTATAAAGGGCCAGGGATTTAGCTCAGTGGTTCCACTGCCTGCTTCACAAGCACAAGAACCTGACAGTTTGATCCCCAGTACCAAAAAAAAAAAAAAAAGGCTATCAAAATTTAAACTATCATCACCTTAAGTTTGGGCATTTGTTGTAAAATGATAATGTACCTTAATACATGTTACTTTATCACGTTTTCTTTAACAACTTATTTTATTACAAGTTTTGCCTTTTTCATACCTAAACAAACAGATTCTCATGATGTCATACAGCTTATTATTATAACACAGGTGATGTCTTTCAGATTACTTCCACTTAGCATGTTCTCTATTTTGTGGTTATTATTAAAACAACAACCACTGCCAAAAAAACGACGAATAGATAAAAGAAGTCTCAAAAAACCTATCATTCCCTGAGGTTATTATCACTAAAGCATGTGGAGTTCACAGAAATAAGGATGCACCCATTTTAATTATGTAAGAGCAGTATTATTTTATGGCATGTACTAGTCTTTTGTTTTGAAAGATGGAGTAAGCCTTCCAAAGCACCAACATCCAAGTGCCCAACTGAAAGTATTTCTACCAGTTAAAATGGTATGTGTGCTAAGCAAATCAGCCTTTGTAAATATCCTGATACTAAAAACATGTACATGTGAACAATATCCGTACCCTCTGCAGCCCTCTTAAAGATACCAGATATAATCTTGTATGTAAGTATTAACTTCTCATCCATAAAATCAGTAAGAAATATTCCAGTAGATCGATACTGTGGTTGTCTAGGTGGATAGATATTTTCCAAAAGTCAAAAACAATTAAAACAAAAACTAAACATTACTCCCATGACTGATATGAAACATTTTTTAAAGCTAGTAACTTAATTTGAAATACGAGTTTAGATATATTCAAATTTTCTTGCAACAGACCATTTCCAGGTTTCTTTTATAATGTGTTTGTTAGACTTTTTAAATTACTTTGGCTCAAATACTAAAGCAGTGCTTAAGAGTAAAAGGACTAAGCAAAAGGAGTCAACTATTTATGTATATAACTAGAATGTCAGCTCTAGAATACCAGGAATCTCAAATTCATTCCACAGTTCCTGTCAAAGAACCTACTAGTAAAGAATTCAATAAAGGTTTAAGTAATTTTTAATGAAGGTAAGATGAAACAATAAAATGAATGTATCATCTATATGGCAAAGAAAGAGACTTCCATTTCTGTACTTAGTTTTTAAAATCTTTTTGGGGTCTCTTTACATTGTAACTGTTTAAAATGTTTGCCTGAAAACTCTGGCCTTTTAGACTACCAGTTAAAGCATGCTGCACATGTGTAGAAAAACTACTTGAGTGTAAAACTAGGGAACATAAAAAAAGTCACATAAAAAAAAAAACTGATTAAGACCAAAAAACAAAATTTAGATAATTACTGTGATTGCAATCAGTTCTGTACAAAAGTCCCCACCCCAGCTCTTATAGTTTATCAAAGCACTGACAGCAGTATCTATAATGGTATACTAAGGTTTTGAATTCAGATTTTTTTAAATTTACATTTAAAAATGTCAATGACCCAAAGTGGGATCCTGAAGGTTCACCAGAAATCTCAGTTGTACCAGGATTCCTAAGAAACCTTTCTAGATACAGAAAGGAAGTTTTATTTACGTAATGTTCTTATCCTTATCCTACAGCCTGCTACTTAAGTCCATGAAAATTGGTTTTGTCCACATTTTAAATCAATGTAAAGGCAATGCTACACAACATACACACTTCTAAAGAATGTGTACATTCCTAACCTCTCCTAAAAGCAGAGTTCCTAGAAAGAATTTCTGGGCCGATTCTTTTACTTCTTAGAAACTGTGATCAGGGTGAAAAAATCTATCCTTTATTAGATATCCACTTCTGAAAATTATTTTAGGTAGGGGAAGCATTCATTAAAATTCTGTACTTTTGCCTCCATCCTAGTAAGGATTATCCTTTGACTTTAGTACTTTCTCCAGTTTTCCTTTCAAGAACATCTTCCCAAAACTTCCTTTGGAAGAAGAGCTTCAATTTCCCCTTTTCCATAGGGTCCCTTCCATTCTGCCTTTAATGTAACACATTTCCTCACCTTAAACAATGTGTAAAAACTGAGTAATTCTATACCTCCTATTTATTATTTTATTGTCATGTTTTAAAAATACTATCTATGATAACTGCCTTCACCTTACTCTCCCCAGAACTTGGTTCCAATCTGACTCCAATGAAATAACTACTGCAAAAAGCCAATAACCACTTTCTTGCTTTTCTTAGTCCTGTGCTGTTTTCTCTTTCTGACATTCAGGGCTCTTCGGCACACAATGAAGACTTTTCACTGAGCTTTCACAGCACACGACATGATCCTACTTCTTTTTCTATGGCCAGCACTGTTTTCTTCCCTGCGTTCACTGGTCCCTTTTCCCTCTTCCAAACTCTGGCTGTACATACTTTTCAAAATTTCTTGGATTTTTCTCTATCAGTGAAACACCTTTCAAGAAAGTCCATCAAGTTTTATGGCTTTACCTATCACTTTATGAAGAAAAATGACAAATCTGTAAGTTTAAAGGTCTGGTCGGTTTCTATTGCAGTATTCCACCTGCAGCTCTTGGAAAATGTACAGCTACCTCACATAAATGTCATATATTTAACAGTAAACTGTGTTTTCCACTAGGGGGAGTTCATCATCCTACCAAGAGAGCACCCAACACAGTGCCAGTATGTATTATAAAACTCTAAATAGTACTTTTACAAGTCTGTGGTACATTAAAACAAGTTTGATTTAACTATATTGCTGGTTGTAGTACTATCTTAAATCAATTATTCTGCATTATCTTATATCTAATAAATTTTACACTGATTTTGCTGATCACCATGTTCAAATGTTTGCCTTATTAAAATTTAATTGCTGACCTAGAAGTGCAAACTACATGCCTAATACTGAACTCCTTTTGAAAAGTAACATTCAAAAGCATTATGAATGGGTTCCGTCCATTCGCCTCTCAGCTCCCTCTTCCTGCAACATTGTTGCTTGTTTTGATAAAAGAGCAGTTTAAACAAGAAAGATGCTGCAGTATGAACTTGGATGATGGGCTACATATGCATCCCACACATATCCTAATAAAATAAATAAATTTGTATTTCAGAAAACTAAAAAAGAATGGAATTGAAGAATTCATGAGAAAAACAACAAAAACCACAAATCTAAAGGAGTTTTTCAGTTCATATAATTCTGCATCTATTAAGCAGTTATGCACCATTTCTCTGCTCTCTAAAAATCCCCTATCATCAGCAAATAATACTATAGCAGAAATCGATTTAGATTTCACTTATAGGCTGTACTGTTCCTGGGTAGTCTTAGGCAATTTCTACTATGTCAGGAAGAGAGCCAATACCCTCACTGAACTATTTAAGGATTAAATAAAATACTGCTAAATACTTAGCACATCAGATATACTATAGGCACTAGATAAAATGCTGATTTCTGCTAGTCTAAAACTATTTTATTAAAATGCTTTAAATAATTTATTAAATTAAATTTAATTAAATTAATTAAAATGCAGTACTTTAAAATAAAACACAACATTTAAA